TCCTGCCCTCATCCCGGGAACAGCTCAGCACCCTTGGGTGGTGTCGGCCACCTGTGCTTTCTCGGGCTGCTGTCTGGAGCCCTTCCCTACAGAACCCAGAGCCTCAGCTCTCGTCTGCTTCTGCTCCGTCAGCACCTGCCTCAGCCTGTCCTAGAGCAGGGGGCTCGGGCCCCGCTTGCGCTGTAGGGGCGTGAGACCGGGGACCGGGGTCAGCGCCCTGTCCCTCGTAGGTCGCTGATTCCAACCTGCCCCAGCGGGTCACCAGCGCCTTCCCTTGGCCAGGGCAGAGTGAGTCCTTGTGTCCTGGTTAACTGGTGCCTTGTGGCTGTGGTTTGGGGCGGGCTGAGCAGAGGTGTGGCGCGGAGCAGACGGGGGGCATCACAACTGCCCTGACTCTGTCCGGGCCAGGCCCCTCCGTCCTGCAGTTGCCGGAGCTGAGAATGGCAGTGAGAACGGGGGGCCTGCGAGGATGGGTGGAATCCCTGAGTGAATCTGGCTTGGCCGAGCGATGGCAGAGGACAGAAGAGCATCCGTGTGTTTCAAAGGCGCAAGGATGGTGAGGACCGTTGAGGGGCTCCAGGGGTGTAGCCGGGGGGTGGGAAAATGAAGGAGAAACAGGTTAACCAGCATGATCAGCTCCCCTGCCCCAGAGAGACCTGTTGGGCCCTGGAGACCCGGCCTTTGGGGGGCATGAAATTAGCCAGGACAAGGCCCTGGGCAATGCCCTCGCCGCTCTCTGTCCCGTCTCTAACGGCACCTCCCGACTGGGCCAGGCACTGCCTGACCGGGCTGCGAGAATGCCCCTCCGCAGCGCCGGGGAGACCCGTGGGCAGTGGGGGCGGGGTAAGATCCCACTCTGCACCTGCCCTGGATTTTGCGCCCGTGAGGTATTCGCTGGCTGGGAATGTGAGATGGGGCTGGGGACCCCCCCCCATTCTCTCCCTTTGTCAGTCCCTCTGCAGCGGGGGTCAGAGCCACGATTCACACCCAGGCGCCAACCAGAGCCTGCGGCTCATCAAAGAGCCTGGCCTCGGAGTTACAAGGCGCTTTTACGAGCGGCTGACAAAAGGCCGAGAAGCCCAGGTGTGGGCCGGAGCCGGGGTGATGCTGCTGCTCTTACAGCAGCCAGAGCTTGATGGGGGCCACTTCTCCCAGCCCCCCGAAGGAAAGCCGAGGCTCCTACCCCCCGCAGCCCAGCCCCTTTTGTCATGGATTCTGTCCTGGGGAGGGGCGGCCAGGCCCTGCACATCCAGCCCATGAGAAAATTCGCACGGCGGGGTCGCACGTCGTTGCCGAAGTCGTAATGTCATCTGTGCGTGGGCCTGCCCCTCCCCGGCCTGCCAGCGCCCCCACCCCCGGCTTAGACAGTAACTGGCATGGAAAGCAAGCAAGCCTTTGTCTGTGCAAGGGCACCCCCGGGGCAGACCCACAAGGAGGGCAAGGCGAGGGGGTCACCGGCAGATCAGCCTGGCCAAAGATGGGCCCGATCTGCAGGGGTGAGTGTGTGGCCCGGCCAGCCCCTTCTCCTGGGGCAGAGAGCCCGCGGTGACAGCCATCTCTGGGGAGTGCGGTGGGGGGGGACAGCCGGCTTTATTCTGTGCTCGTCTGGCTCCGTGTGGCGCTGCTGAGCGGATACTTACCCGGCCCTGGACGGCCCCAGCCCGGCAGAGGGAAGGAGGCGTGGGTCCCATCCCTCGAGTCTGTGGCTTAGGAGCCAGGTCCCTCGCCCTGTGTTAGCCTGGCAGCTCTTTGGGGCAGGGGCTGCGGCTGTCTGCTGCCTACAGGACCCTAGTGATGGGGGCTGAGAGCGGGCGACATGGGCAGACCCCTCGCCAAAGCGCAGAGTGCGTCCCACGGGTCCCAGCCAGCTCCCGGCAGGCCTCACGCACGCGCTCCAGCGACGCCTCGGCCCGCGAGTGCAGGGCTGGCCCGTGTGTTGGGCTGCGTCCCCTGGAGGGGTCCGGGGGCGTTGTTCCCCCGCACCCGGAACGGTCAGCTTCAGGCTACGTCTGCGAGCGAGGGGTGTGCTCCCCACTCACGGACCGGGCCTGGGTGAAGAGCAGTGTGGCCGTGGCAGCCCGGCCGAACCGTGTCAAGGGACATGCCCACGGCTCAGCCGAGCCTCCGCCGCTGCTGCCCCGGCTACGCTGCCCTTGGTACCCACAGAGCTCAGTGCGGTATGCTGGGAACCAGCTCCTTGTGTGGACGTAGCCGCCGAACCCCCCAGAGCTCCAGGTGTTAGCTGTGGAGCCCCCCCCCCCCCGTCTGTAATTGGGGGGTGGACGGGGACCTGGGAAATGGGCACATTTATCTGCTGCTCAGACCTGGCATCGGCCCAGGGAAGGGTGCCCTGGGCTGGACTAGCAAGGGCTGCGGGTTGGGATTGAGGGGGACTGGCAGAGCTGGGAGGCGGGCCCAGGACTGGGCCGGCAGTGGGCTGCGGGTCGGGATTGGGGGGCACCGGCAGAGCTGCCCCATCAGTTCTTGACGCTCCCAGGTGTTAATTCATACCCATCCCGAAGGCCCAGCCTCTCCCACGACTCCCCTCCAGGAGCTGAGGTGGGTCTGGGACGGAGCCAGAAGCCCCCGCGGTGCGTGCGCTCGCCCGTTAGCCCTTCCCTTCCCTGCGTGGGGCTTCTCGGCTCTCCGCCAGGCTGCGAGTTGCGACGTGTAGGCCGAGCGCAGGCTGGCTCGTCAGCTCCAGCTCGGCTGGTGTTTGTGAGCGGCCGCGGGGGTGGGAGCAGGAAGCCAGGGCGGCGATGGCTGGCTGGGAGTGGGTAAGCTGCGCGGCTGCGCCCTCTTCCCATTGCTGGTGGGGGAGGCCCGGGGCCCCCTGGCCCAGCGCAGGGACCTGCCAGACCTTTGGGTGGGCGGATCTGAGCCCCCCGGCGCCCAGGAAGGGCGTGGCTGGGGCCCGGAGCCAGCTGGCTCCGCGGCCCTCGTTCAGGGCGGTTCTGCTGCCAAGGAGGGAGCCCTCGGTGGCAGGGTCCCCCAGGCCGGGAGGGCTGAGCCAAGCTGCCCCTCCTTGGGCTTTGCAAATCTCCCTGCCGTTCCCCCCGCCCCGGTTCGGTCTTGTCTCCGCTGAATGTTTCCCGGAAGGCGGGAGCCCCTGGGGCTGGCTCGAGGGGGCCGAACGCCCAGCGTAGCGACTGTAGCAGTTTTGTCCGTCTTCGTTCCGCTCCTTTCTCCCCGAGCGGCAGGATCTGATCCAAGCCGCCAAGCCCGGCCGTCTGCCTGGGGCTGTGATCAGGTGAGGGGCGCTGGCCCGGCAGGTCCTCCCGGTTCCCCCAGGCGTTGGGGTGACTCCGGACACGGAGCACGAGGACAGCCGGCGCTATGTGCCCAGCGCTTCTCACCACTCCATGCGATGCTGGCGCTGGGCCCTGTTCCGAGTTTGCTGTAACCTCACGAATGAGCCCGTCCCTCCCTGGGCCAATCTCACCCCTCGCTCCCTGTCGGCTCCCCGCTTCACCCCCCGGGCGGCTGGGTAGGTGCAGGGAGCGGGATTTCAGCCCGTCCACCCCCTGGGACCTGAAGAGCCAGGCAACGAGGCCTGAGTTCCCGTTCTGGGCCGGGCCCCTCTGGGAGAAGACGCCAACCTGCTAGAGAGGCGATGCCCGTGGCCTTTCTGGGCCCCCGTTGTGCCACGGGGACGGTCTGGGCAGAAACAGGCCTGGGCCCCCTACCCTGCTGTGGCGTCTGTCTAGGCGTTGGTAAAGGGCCCATCACCTCCCTGTCTGGGCTGCTGCCGCAGAAGCTGAGCTCAAAGCTCATCGGTGTCGTTGCTTCGCAGAGGTCGCGGGGTCTCCATCCCCCTTTCCCGGCGCCCCCAGACAATGACCCTGCGGTTCGGGGTGTTCTGAACCCAGCCCCGGTTCAGTGACTGGTCCCAGGGGGACACTAACCCACGAGGACCCCCATCCCACTACCGAGGGAGCGATCGGCAAACCGACCCTGTCCACCTACCGCCGCCCATGCAGCCGCCCGGGGACCTTAACCAGCCGTGGGCCAGTTCTGGGCACGCAGCCAGGGCAGCTGGCAAAGCCCAGCCTCCGGCGTTGGCTGCACATGCGCACGGGCGGGAGCTGCTTTCGCTTTCCATCCGACTGGGGCTTGCTCTGGCTGGACTTGGTTGGCACCGATGTCCCACAGCTGCTTAGCTCCCCTGGGACGGGCGGCTTCCCCAGCCCGGAGTTTGTCGGGGGCTGGACAGGCCGCGGCGGGCCAGGCTCCGTGGGGCGGCGTCCAGCCAGGGCTGCTCGTCTAGGGTCTGGCAGCGGCACTTCCTCCCCTCTCGGTCTCGCTGTTGCTTTTCCCCGGCAGGGTGGAGAGGAAGGAAGTTGGGTGCCTGCCGCAGAGTCGGTGCGCTCGGGCCTGGGCTACGGCACGTAGGCTGGAGGATCTCAGGGCGAGGTAACGGGCCTTGCTGCCTGGGGGTTTCGTGCAGGCCCTTGGCCAAGGGCAGCTGGGCGGTGATGCGGCAGAGAAGGCCCTTGGATCTGTGCGGCAGACTCCGGCACCAGCGTTTGGGGGTGGGGAGTGGGGTAGGGGGGTTGGATCTGGGGCTGTGCGCTTGGGTTGGAAAACAGCCAAGTGCTGTCCCTAGGTAGGGGGAGAATGTGGCAATAAGCCACCCAGGGTGCTGTGCCACCGCCGCCCTCTGCTGGATGGAGCTGGAGCCACTGTGCTGTGTGTCATTGGCCCTGTACTGCCAACAGCGGGTGGGGATTCTCTTTGGGGTCAGGGCCTGTGCAGGAGGGGATCGGCGTTTTGTCCCCATGGGGCTCTGCTCAACAGCCTGGGGTACTGGGGTGGGCACATTGGCACTGATGGGGTTTTCAGAGACTGAGAGTGATCCTGGGTAACTGTGCAGGGGAAGGGGCAGCGAGGCTCTGGTGCAGGCAGTCTGGGGCGTGCGACTCGGATTTGGGCGCTTCCCTGAACACTTGGGTGTGAGGATAGGCCCCGTGTGTGTGGGGGGGGGAGGTCAGGGGGGATTCTCGGGCACTTCCCATCAGGCTGGAACCAGATGAGCCTTAGCCAGGGCCCACCTAGGCCTCCCGGTAAAGGGGCCTGAGCTGGGGAGTGCTGGGGCATTGGCGGGGCACTGCTGCCAGGGAGCTCGCAGCGGGTGGCTGGATCTGGCTTGGGCCTTGCTCTGATGGGCAGGATTGAGGCCTTGCTCATGCCAGGCCCAGAGCTGAGGGAGGGCACAGGCCGCCCCTCAGGAGCCGTCTCCCCCACTGACACTCCTCTTTCTCGGCAGCTGACCCCCGGATCGGCGCCAAGGCCATGAGCGAGTGAGCGGGTGTCCTCGTGGGGCGGATCCTGGGCGCCAGTGAGGTCAGGGAGAATCCAGTAAGTTCCTGAGTGGGGAAAACTCTGAGAACAGAGCGAGCGATGGAGGGGTGGGGACGGGGACGGGGACAGGTCACAGGTAACGGAGACTCAGCTCCCGGAAGGGGACTGACCCTGCTACTGACAGGGCACTGTGGGGAGGAAGCTCGCAGCCGGAGTGGCAGCAGGGCTCTGCGGCGCAGCAGCTCACCTGTTCTTGCTCTCAAAGCATTAGGACAGGGCTGAGGCAGGCAGCGGGGGGTCCCCAGGCCCTGCCTGGCCCCTCCGGCTCCCAGCCGTGCCTACGGTGCTGTCCCGTTGACTCCCCCGGCCCGTGAGCATCGGTGTGAGAATGGCACCCTCTTGTGGCTGCTCTGCCGAGTCCGTGTGCCGACAAGGCTTGTGGAATTCCCTCATTTGCAGCCCGTCCTTGGGGCCTGATCGCCCGCCAGCTCCCCGCAAATCAGCCCCCTTTAGCCACCAGGGCAGCCAGGAGGGAGCAGCAGGTGGCCGGATGTGGGGACCGCCAGTGGTGACCTGTGCCAAGCGGGTCGCGCACCGCCCGGTTCCCGGGGAGTGGGTGTCCACGTACAAACAGCCCCCACGCTGGGCACTAGCCAGGCCCCTTGCTGGCGACCCCAAGAGGGGGGCGAGGACTGAAAGGGACTGGGGGACCAAATCCCCCTCGCCCTAGAGGGGTCGCTGCAGGGCTGGCTGGGGTAGGTGGGGGGTACCCAGGGAGCAGTGAGAATGCACCGCGTCCACAGCAGGGCTGGGGACCTGCCCGGGGTGGGAACAGACCCTGAGCTTCCCCTCGTCTCTCCTCGGCCCCAGGCTGGGGAGATCTGCTGAGGGGATGGGTCAGTGACGGGCCCTGGGGCTGCACCCGAGCCGGGGAGCGGGCTGCACCCGCAGGCCCAGCGCCTAGCTAGCCCCGAGGCCAGCGCCTGTCACCCCTGTCTCTTGTGTCTCCTCCCAGGGCTGTTCCTGCCGGGGAGCCACCATCTGTGCGGGGTCACCATGCAGCGCACCGGGTCCCCCATCACCACGGAGACCGACATCGACCTCACCGCCGCGCTGCTGCCTTCGGGGGGGACGCGGAGCCATCAGCACGCCATCAAGACGGCCGTCAGCGAGACGGGGGCGCTGCCCGTGCCGGGCTACGAGGGGCCCCCCTCTCCTGCCGGCTGCCACTGCTGCAGCCTCGCTAAGCTGCAGACGGGACCCCAGCCTGGCGCCGGCTGCCGGCTCTGGAACGCCCCCTACCCCAAGCTGCCCCCGGGGTCCTGCCCGGGGAAGGGCTTTGGCCAGTCCACACTGCCGTTCAGCTTCGGGACCAGCTCTGCGCCCCCGCACCGAGACCCCCGCCTCACACTGCAGCCCAGCGAGCTGCCCACCGGGACGGCCAGGCTGAGCAGCGGGCCTTGGGGAGAGCCAGGGAGGTGCGGGGGCCTCAAAGGCCTGGATCTAGAGCTCTGGGAGCCCCCAGAGACCAAGCCAGGGCTGGAGGATGGGACGGCTCCCCCCTCGGCCTTGGAGAAGCCCCCCATCCGAGAAGGCTGCTCCCCCTGGGCTGAGGCGCGGCTCTGCCCCGTGCAGCCGGGACGGGATGTGTCTCCACCAGAGAGTTGCCGTGGGGTCCGGGAAGAGCAGGGCTGTGCGGGCGTCCCTCCCAGCGCAGCTCTCGGCCTCTCGGCGGGCAGGGCGGGCACACGCCGGGCTGAGGGCGCAGGCCGTGGGCGTGACCCCTTGACATCGGAAACAGCAGCCAAGCCGTGGCGGGACGGCAGCATCGTGCTGAGCGAGGGCACGAGGGAGCTGGTGATCGGCCGGGAAGGGACACGGGACATCCCCCATCCAGTGGGGAGCGGGCTGGCCCCGTGTGACCCCCCTGAGCCAGAGCCCCCCTCAGCAGACCCACGGGAAGAGGAGCTGCCGCCGGAAGGTCCTGGCGGGACAGAGGAGGAGGCAGTTACGAGTCGGCCCCGGGGCACTGAGCTGGGGAAGCGGCCGGGGACCAGGAGCTCTGTTGGCTCAGCCGGCCCGGGCCGTGAAAGCAGCCAGCCCGTCTCCCAGGAGCCAGCCAGCCAGGCCCAGCAAATCGGGGACCTGGGGCCCGCGGGTGCCAGCGCTCCCACTAAGACGTCCGTGGAGGACGCCTACGGGAGGCTCACCAAGGCGTGCGGCCTGTCCCTCCTGGAGGAGCTGAGACGGACGTTCCTGGACGCCGAGGGCGGCTGCTTCTCGCTCCTGGATTCGGGCCTGGTCTTGGGACGAGTGGAGGAGCATGCGGCGCTGGGGCTGGCCATCCTGCCCATGGTGAGTGCTGACAGCTCGCCCGGCGGGTGCCTGGCAGGGAGCTGAGCGGGCGAGGAACCTGGCTCGGGCTTAACCCCTCTCCCGTGTGCCCACGGCCGGCTGCTGCCCTGCGTCCCTGAGCCTGCTAGTAGCTGTGACCCCCAGCAGGGGTTCTCTGCTATGGGTCGTGGCTAGATGGGGGGGGGGTCCTGGTATGGAAAAGGTGGAGAACCCCAGGATTACAGGAGTGCCCCAAATCTGCCAGGTATGGTACGCAGCTAGGAAAGGACAGTCCTTGATCCAATGAGCTCATTGGTTTGACCCCCACACCCCGCCACACGGCTTTCCCAGCCCTATACTCCCCTCCCCCCCTCCCCTGCCTCAGCTCTGCAATCTTTGATCCTGACCCACAGCCTCCCCCTCCCCACCGGTGCCCCCATCCCAACCCACAGCCCCCGGCCACTTAGTCCCGCACTTTTTTAAATGCAGCCTGGTGCTGGCGCCAAGCCTCTTGCTGGTTTCCCTGTTGGACCCAAACAGCGGCGAGCCGGCTCCCTCCACTCCATACCTGCCCTGTTCTCTTCCTTCCCTCTGGAGCAGCCAGCGCTGGCCGCTGGCAAGATACTGAGGACAGGACACTGGGCTAGATGGACCCTTGGTCTGACCCAGCCTGGCAGCTCCTATGTTCTTACCCGCTTCGTTCCCCCTTGTGACTTGAGCCAGCGTTTGCACCTAGTACTCTGGGTGTGGCCAGGCAGGGCGGTAACCCAGCCTCCGAGACACTCTCCAGCCCCGGAGCTCCTGCGCTCTGCGCAGCTCTTCGCTCGGGTTAATGCCCCTCTCCTGTACGGCGATTCGCAGTCACAGACACAACACGGCCGCTGAGCAAGCGAATACCTGTGTTAGCAGGTGAGCCGGACTCCGGCTGTGTATTTGCCAGTGCCCAGGCGAGCTGGTGCCTGGTCTGCAAGCATCCCACCTATGACCCACAGTCAGGCCAAATCCCCATAATGCACCTGGTTAATTGTACAGCTGCTGTCAAAATTCCTTCCTGACCCTGCAGGTTTATGCCCTGAAGCTTGATTTCTCCATGAGGTTCACGTACCACTAGGCGGTTTGACGCGAGGCCCTCCCTGGTGGTTCCCAGCCCGCTTGTAGACCCTTGTGTTTCCTTTCACCCCCAAAGGCCATGTCAGGCGCTTGACTTGGTACCACATGATATTTTGCCTAAAAAACTAGCACGATATCAAACTAACACGGCCACGGGACATGGATTAAAAACTGGCTGATGGGTCTCAAAATGTAACTGGGGAATCGTCATGGAGCGGGGGGGTTTCTGGAGGAATCTCGCCAGGGTTGGTTCTTGGGCCTACACAACTTACCATTCTGATCAGTGACCGGGAAGGAAACCGAAAATCCTCCCTGGTAACGTTTGCAGGTGACACACCCACTGGGGGAGTGGGAAGTAACAGGGAGGTCAGATCCTCGGTGCAGGGCGAGCTGGGGATACGCATTCAAATGTGGCTAAATGTCATAAGGAGGGGGGAGAAAACTTGTTCACCTTAGCCTCTAAGGATAGAACAAGAAACAACGGGCTTAAACTGCAGCAAGGGAGGT